GTTCTCCGTGAGCGTGGATCCTGGAGCGTTTCTCAGCTTGGCCAAACCTGGCCGTAGCCACTGGGGATCTTGTTCTGGGTCTTTAGCCAAAGACCCCCCTACATTCTCCAGCTTTGCTGGCGCCTGTCACACAGCTCAAGTGCCTAAGCCGGTCCCCAGAGGCAGAAAATGGGGGTCTTTTCTTCCATCCCCAGGCAGGCCTGGGAGGAGGAGCCCTCAGCCCACACCTGCCCTGTGGTCTGAGCTGCCCCTGTCCGGGTCCCACCCAGGTCCACCCAGAGACTCCAAGTCCTCATCCCCCGCCCAGGCCTGGTGTGGCCGGGGCAGCACCTGATGGCCACAAATGCCTCTGTGTTTCAGGGTCAAGTATGAAGCCCCACAAGCAACAGATGGCCTGGCTGGAGCCCTGGACGCCCGGCAGCAGAGCACTGGAGGGGTAAGCAGAGGGCCAGTCCCACCGGGTACCTTCCCAAAGGCGGGCTTGCTGTTTGCTGGGCTCTGGGCCCAGAGTCCACAGCCTTTCCCCCTCTGGCTCTCCAGAGGTCCTATGTGGCTAACGCAGTTATTCCCAGTGGACAGTTGAGGACACAGCTCCAGGCACAACCCTTGTACCTCTGCCTGTGCGTCCGGCAGTGGGAGAACCCCTTCCAGTTGGCCAGGGCGGGGCTCCCGGGAGCTGCTGGGAACAGCAGGAAGCTGGAGAAGCCAGGGCCAGGGGCAACACGGGGTCATGACGGCTTCCAAGGCCAGGGGGGGCCGAGCAGTGGGAGAGGAAATGTGAGGCGGCAGGGCACGGGGTGGCCGGGAGGACTGCTCTCTGCCCTAGGTGAGGTAGAAGTCACCGGAAGGTGCTGAGATCAGGAGGGACATTTATCTGACTTTGATTTTAAAAGGATCGAGAAGGGAACTGGGACACCCGTTAGGCTGTGGAAGCCATCCAGCCTGTCCCCAGGCCAGCAGGAAAGGCAGGAGCCCAGCGACTCCTGGGGACTGGGCCCTCCCTCCTGTGTCTCAGCTTCTGAGCCATTCGCAAGTCACCCAGAGCCATGCAGAGAGCAGGGTCCGAGGGACCCAGCCCCAGCAGGGACTCCAGGGCCTCCGGTCTGTGCGGTGGCACCTGCCACCCCTCAGCACTTTTACACACCAAGGGGCCATGGCTTGGCTTAGGCCACTCCTGGCTGGGCTGGCCGCCACTCAGCACCGTCCTGCTCCCTCCGCTCTGGCTGTCGGGGTTCCCCAGGCAGAGGGGCAGCGCGGGCAGTGGAGCCCCTGCTGCTGCTGGTCCTGCCTTCTCTCTGGGCTCTGCTCCTCCCAGTGGGCTCTTGGGCTGGGAGACAGGGCTGGAGACTACGCTGGCCTGGTTGGAGAGACTCACTCTCCCTCTCTCTGAAAGCAGTCAAGCAGCAACTCACGGCCCCTGAACCCTCACTCCGCACAGGCGCCATGTGAGCGCTCCATGGGCTTCACCCCCACCCCCACTTCCTGCCCCCCATCACAGACCCAGGGCAGAGCTCCTGCGGGTGAGGGCACCCGAGGCACAAGGGTGCTCCACAGGCTGCCAGGAGTCACGCTGCTCTGAGGACCAGCCAGCCTCCAAGTCTGTGCCCGTGACCCGCAGCTGCAGAATGGGTGGAGAAGGGAACCACTGCCCTTGTGGCAGAGACCATATCCTTGAGGTCCATACTCAAATGTCCCCGTCTAGAATGCCACCCTCCGAGGCCACTGCCTGGTCCACCCAGCACCTCACTTCTCTCGGG